TAAATAATCCGATACCCGCGCATTAATTACTTGCGCACCTACGTTAATTATGATCAACAAAATTTATGACAAATATATTCTAATTGTGCCATTGCACTGGTACCGTTTTCCACTTTTCATCATAAATAAACTACCGCTTTAATTAAACTCATAATTGGTGTGTAATTAAATGGCCGCAAGATGGGTGGTGGTGGTGGAATGAGAAGATATCGGATTGCAGTTTCTAACTTTCCACGAAGAGTATTTGCGCGCTCGAAATGCCAACCACTACAACTAGTAAATTCAATTTTCGCAAAAGTAGCAAATGATTATGATTATGATAACCTGCGAAGATGTCAAAAAGCGAAACCATTTTCATTTATGCGTTTTCTATAGATTTCACTAGTAAATATTTAAATCCGTTTGAACTCTCCTACTTTAACACTAATAAAACAAGGTAACACACAACTAAAATCATTGATATTCATAATTATTTTACTGCAACTATAGTTGCATGTTACTATCTTACTTTTTTACTCAGTGTAATAATTCTTCGCCGGTGCCTCGTGGGCATCGGATGTTTTTTTTTTACTCCTCTGGTAATTGTTGACCTTTCGGCTCCGGCGGCGCTCGAAAGTCAAAGTCCACGAAGACGACGCAAAGACCTGTCCCTGAGAGTGTGAAGACGTTGAGAGAATAAAAAAATACTCGTAGAGTTTGCTAAAGACTGAAGATTAAAGACATGCTGGTTACCATTGAGGAGAACATCGCGCTAGGAACTCTCGCAACTCGCACACGAAGAAATCTAACGTTTCCTCACGAATAAACGTGAAGTTAATCGCTGCGATGTGATGAAGAGGTCTCTTTACCTGTGTTCTTCGTGGAATTCCGCTCAAAGGTTGAAATTACACACTCCACCCTCGATGAAAAAGCAACAAAAAAAAACGAAGAAGAAAAAATCGCATTGTTGCGTTGTGTGCAGAGTGTAAAACTACCCGAGCACGAAATTACAAAGAGATTTATGCGCGGATATTATACTATACGAGTGCGGCCATTTTATGAAAACAACAGTTATATGAATTTGAATATGTGCAAAGCGATAAAAAGAAAAACGAAAGCTTCAACCATAACCATAACATATGAGAGCATAAATAGTATTATTCGCCGGTAGCAATGCAAATATTTTCCATTTATTGAAGCTGTGTGTGCTTTATTGGTCAATATTATGGAATTTTCAACAATTATAGATTCGTTACGATCGCTCGTTTTCGTTCAATTGCACGATTTGTTTTGTGGCATTTTCATGCCGTCCAGTATGTCTTATTTATGCCATTTCTCTTTTCTCTCGCGGCTCGCGGCTGATGCTGCTGGCAGTCTCTCCTTTCTAGCGACTTTTCGACGTCTAAACACAACTCAAAACTGTTACACACAACACAACCGGTTAACCGGTTTTATATTAAACACATTTCCAACTGGCATATGTCGTTAGCAGTTGGAGAAAACGCGACCGAAAAATTTCACCGACCGACTGTCAATTTGATTTGACCCCGGCGACTCAGCAATGCATAAAAAATAAAAAAGAAGCGACGAAGCATGTCACCGCAGTTGACTGGTGACTAGAATAACTATTTATTAAAATTCTCCGGCGTATGTAGATATGATGTTTTTTTTTTCGGTGAGTGTATAATTTAAAATGTACGTTTTCGAAACGCGATGATGTTTTTGTTTTCTGTTTCGTAGGTTGTGTAGTAGGAAGGCTCGATCGCACGCGTGGCATAACAATGAAGAAGAAAAAGCTACTATTTTGAGCGAAATCGACGGACGCTAACTAATAGCTCGTACACGTGGATTTTAATTTTAACTCCAATTCCACGATTAGTCGTTAACTCGTTACGCGCGTTGGAGGTTATATAATCCAGTTCGGGAGGTGAACTAAACCACGCGAATTTCACACACCTTCACTTTCTAAACTCAAAAACACAACAAAATTAAGCGGAATTTAATAGTGCTTAAGTAAATTTCTACTACAATTACGTTTGAACATTATATGTTCATAGGAAATGAAACGGCGCACAAAAAGTTAAAAAAAACTCTTTTCGTGTAAAATAATAAATTAAATTAATTTACAAAAGCATAAATAATTAAATTTTGCATATATTAAACTAAACACAGTGAAAATTCGATAAATTCTTTACGAATTATAAACAAAAAACACTATTAATAAAGTAGCGCCATCTGTTGACGCTAATTTCCGTTCTGTCACATGAATAATAAATCATTCGCCAGGGTCAATGAATAAGTATAGTTCGACTTGTTTGACTCCGATAATTTGTTTCTTCATGCACAAAGATAAAAAGCAGTTCTTATATTGTGTGATTGTGATTGTAATGCGCGATTGCGGTGTGTGTGTATGTGTTTTTTGTTAATCTCAAAGCAAATCAGCTACTGTTTGCAGCCGCACATCATATTCTTACCAAAGCGCTAGCAGTTTGCACGCCGCAGAGAATGATAAGCATGAAGCGCATCATTAGATCCTCTGCCTCTGCCGCGGCTGCTCTAACAGGATATTCTTCACTGTTATATCGCCGGCGCGGCGTTTACTTAGTCGTTGCAAATTAAGTTAACGGGAAAAAAGACTCCGACTCGGAGAGTTACGAGTCGGACTAGCGCGCGCGAGGTAAAAATGCGTATGAATTACTATTACTACAAGTCTTTTGCTTCGCTATTCCAGAATGTGTTTCGCTGGAGGCACAAAGGTCGTTGGTGCGTTTTTTGATGATCACGTTGAAATGTAAACAATTTCAACAAGTTGCGTCGCTTGTCTCGGTTCTTTTCTGTTGCGGCTCGTCAAGTTCACAATTCACAAACAAAGTGCGATTTAAGCTGAGTTTAACTTTTAACTCGTAACGTGTTTTTAACGCATGATGAAAGATCTCGAATATAAACACACATATCTTTAATGTCTTCGAGTTTAATCATTAACAAAGCTCGCCTTTGAGCGTTTGAGTAGTTCTGCGAATGTCAGCAATCGCTGAAGAAATGATGGTGACATTTTTTTAATTGCACGATTTTATACGAATTACGAATTGGATTAGTTGTTAGTAATAGCGCTAATTACGAGTCAAATGGAACAAGGTTTGCTAAAAGTGTTTTTAAAGCGTTTTTCAAGCGATGCTTTGCTGCTTTGATTGGCCTTGACTTGACAGCGCAAATCATGAATAATTAATGAATTAACGCTCTTGATAAACTTTTCCTTTAATTTCACACTGGGTAAAGTGTTTTAGCACAAATCGGGTCGGAAATTAGCAAGAAAAACAAGAGTTGCGCATAGATTGCGGTATATTTCAAATTTTTAAGAGATTTTTAGCGATTAATTCCGAAAAAGTAAATAGACGTATAAAGATAATTAATTTACGCACCAGTTGAGTTGAATTTTGCTTTTGGAAGAAAGATAAATCAGAAAATACTAGCAAAAACTGCAAAATTTTCTTAAATTGCGCAAATTTTTAAAATTTTGAGGCATTTTAAAGCATTATCAAAGAAAACATTTTACTAATAATGATAGAGAATTAAATTACGCATCTTTTGTGACTCAGTAGATCAAAATCGCATCAATAACAACAAAGTTACGATGAAAAAAGCATAAAGTGATTTCCAACTAGAAACCTCGGTTAAGCCAAAGTCATATGTCTCAGGTAATGTTACAATGAACGATATTAAATTAAATACACCGCGGATAGATATAAATTACAAACTATAAACAATTGAATATGATGCCTGGCTTACGTGCGACGTGCACACAATGTAAACACGCACACGTCGAGCATAATAACGTCTTTAATAAGGTGTTCCAGAGCTCTGTGTGCGCATGCAGATGTTTGAGCGATATGCTCATGCGAGGAAAACTCGATCTCGAAAGGCTCGGCAAAGGCGCAACTTTTATATTATTAATATTGATGAGTGCGCCGCGAGTGCGCGGCGTGTCTATGGGATTGGGAAAGGTTACGATACGCGATATAAACATACAATTAGGATCTTTTCCGCGTGAGACTGCGAACTAACTGCAAAAAGAGATATGCTAAATAATATCCTCCCAAAGGTAGGCGTGGCTCCGGCTATGAAATGTTAAATAAACAAAAAAGGAGAAAAACCAGAAAGTGATTATGATTTGTTTATAATTGCGCCGAGTTTTTATGTCGCAAGCAACATCTTCCTCTGCGATTTTCTTGCGGAGATAATTAACTCGCGTGTGCGTAATGTCGATTGCGATATTTTCTTCGCTGAAAATGCAAAAAAAAATCATTTCTTTTTTTTTTTTACACCGACAGTAACACGATATTGCAATTATCTTGCAAGTACCATGCGTAATTACACACTAAACTCCAAAAAAACCTTTTAAGCTCCGCCTACAATTAGGCGTGGTTCAAAGGTTGACGCGCATGCGTACTGCTATGATAGGCGTGGCTCCCTGGTCAAAATCTAACTGTTTTTCGTGGTTTACTCAAAAACCACGATAATTACACAGTGAAGTGAAGTGTAATAACACGTGTAAACTGGTAGACGTGTTGTGGTGTTTTTTCTCTCGTTGTAATTCCGATGATATTCATATTCCAGTGATGCGTGTGTGTTGCACGCACGAGTTGACCTAGGAGCGTCGAAGGTTGAACGGAACGTTGGAAAATTTAAGAGAAAACAGACGTAGTACATCCAAACAATCAGAAACCGCAGCTGACCGACTGGTTTCCCTTGATATAAATACACCAGGCGCATAAAAGTGATGAATGTATGAATCATTGTGTAAAACTACTAAAAAAAGTCATGCATCATAGAATTTAGTAATGGTGGAAAATTTTTTTTTTCGAAAATTTTAATTTCTGCGCGTAGGGACGCCTACAGAAAATGAAGTCATAAAGTTCGCATTGTTTATAGTTTATAAAATTAAATTCCATTCTTATTACTGTGTCAACATAATAAACTAATAATAGTTTTCCATGAAATAAAACGGAGTGTAATGTAATTACCTGTAAAAATTGATGTTCCACGAGTGTTTAGTTATATCTATCACAGAAATCCATTGGTTTCGTACACTCAACAAACAAACAAAACTGCACGGAGCGAAATAACAACGTTCCAGGTAAATTATCAATTTGTTCGACTCACACAGTTAGCTTGTGTTGTTGCACAATGTTGGAAAAATCAACAGTCGGGTGAGATCTCTCACCGTAAAGGTATGAGTGTAGAGTTTACGAACCGATCACACCGAACAAGGTTTTACAAGGTTTCGAGTAAACACTCGCACGATGCACTCGCACTCGCGTGTGTGGGATGTGTGGGTGACCGGGTGACAGCTTCTAGGGGTGCACCGCCAGCGCATGCCCGCGCATTACGTCACTGCGCTCTCAGGTGTGCAGCTGTCGTGTTGGTTCGATTCGCACTCGCGGAATGTGCGAATGCAACGCGCTAGGCGTGCGCGCAGCGCATCGTAACGGCTAGGCTAAATTCGGTCGGCGTGCGGATCGTAGGTTTTTGATTCACTCTCGGCATCGGACTCGGACGCGGTAAGACTACTGCGCCGACAGTAACAGCACCGAACACGCTTCCAGTTCTAGCTCCAACTGTCGTGCTGTGGTAAACAACGCGGAGTGGACTGTGACTGGAAACGCTCTGCGCGCGGCACGGTGCGCTGTGTATGCATTCCGGCGGCTTGACGTGGCAACGTTGTAGGGAACACGCGCAGATGCTGACTGAAGAGCAGAGGTGGACTTCCACAACTGCTTTTTGTGTAGTTTTTCTTATTTTACTCAAAAACTAATTAAGATAGAACAAAAATTCTTTCACTCATCTATTAACTATTAAATTATATATCTAATTTTATAAAGTATACTCAAAATATATTAAAATTTAAAAAGTTATAAACAATTAAAGAAAAAATATAAAAAATTTACATTTTTACCAATAATTCTTATAATTAATTAAAATTTAATTAAAAATTAATAAAATTAGACATATAATTTAATACACTATTGAACTGTGAAAGAATTTTTACTCTATTGCTTTTAGTTTTTGTGTAATAAACAAATTTGTACCAAAAAACATGGTTTAATTTAACCACAGCTAGTTTTTTCCGTATTTTCATCGATTTAACGCAGTTTTATTCAAAATTAAACTTGCTCTCGACTGTACAGAACGCAAATCTGTTGATCTTGAGTTGTCTTTCCTTACGAGCAGTGTTTTTGAATAAAAACCTGAAGAGTTGCGCCGCAATGAATGTGAATGCAAGAACGGTATTACAATGCGGACAATAGACAACTCATACTGGTGGCTTGTGAATACAACTATGTGCGCGATGATGATGTGCTCGTCATGCTGCGTCTTCACTTCTTCACTTACTTGTACTTACACACAGCATTACTGGCATCCGTCGTTGCGGTAGTCGCGGTTTACTTTGAGCGGAAAGAAAATCTCCAGTTTCCTCGCTTCAAATTTCTCAACGCATTTGCTTGTGAATTCCAGCAATGAATCTGTTAACAATTAGTCATCGTATGTTTTGATCATCGCGCGCATCAATCATCAGCGGCGCACGTTTTCGTGCGTTTCGTATTTATGTTTACAAACTTGCAGCGCGCAGCGCTCGTCGTGTTGCTCTCGTTGTTCCCGTGTGTTAATTTGATCGTCATGTGTTTGCGTTTAGTCTCGAGACTTGCGATGGTCGAGGCTTTTACATTTTAAATATAATTTCGTTTACGGCGCGCCGATGTGAAAACTTTCCCAGACGCGCATGCAGCGAACACGCAGCTAATTCATACTTGCGAGGCCTCGGAGGAATCGCCCGCTGCACACACGCAGCATCTCAGTATTTGTATACCGTCTATTTATAACAGAAAAGAACCTTCGAAGGTCGAATTCTCTTCGCTTCTCTTCTCGTGGGCATCGTCTCGGCGCGCGGCGCGCACCAAACGCGCAAACAACTGGGTTATTAAGTTATTATTCCGCGATGGCGAGTTAATGCGGTGGAAATTGAAAAATGCACGCAATTGAATACGTGCGATTGTTACACATGCGTACGATTCTTACAAAACTTGTTCATGTAACGTAAAAACTTTATAATAAGCGAAAGTTTGTTAAAATTTTAGACGGAACTAGCAAAATCTAATTGGCGATGGGAAAGTTAACAAAAACGTTATTATTTTAACTTAAACTTACCAAAAACACAAGAATTCACTGCACCGTGCTTCATTTTGTTTGTTGTAAACTAAAATAACCAAAAATAACTGACAAACTTGATGTTGTAACGTCTGCAAAGTTGATTCTGACGTGTATAAAGAGTTGCCTACATTAAACAATGTTCTAAAAATATAAATATCATTGTTTTTACTTATAATTCAACAAATACTTACATAATTTAAATAAAACCCATAAATATACACATAAAACTACCTAGTTTTTCGTATTTTGTTAAGTTTTATATCTTAAATATTGGTTGCCTATGTCAAATTGCTTGCGTGTCCGTACAACTCACGAAACACACACAACTCAAACTTCTAACCAATCCACATACGCCACTCACCTCCATGTCAATTTCTATGTGACTGTCCTGCGAAGATTGTGAATGTAAAACAAGCTCCAAAGGGCTGTAAACATGTGGAAATCAGTGGTAGTGACTCTCCTGCTTGCCGCAACAACCCTCGGCGCCGAAACATTCAGCAAAAACTTAATAAACAAGAACGTTGAGCGAATCATCGATCTCTCAACGCAGCTCGTCAAAGTAACCACGACCATAACCTTAGAAAACGCCGGCAAAGATGTAGAAACAAATTTCCACCTCATCCCCGAGCCGGAGCACCTCGGGAGCTTATCACACGTCTCCGTGAAGGATGCGCTCAAGCAGGATTTGAAGGTACATCAGGTGAAAGTTGATGGTAAGACTGCTTACAGAGTCAACCTGAGATCCAACCTGGCTGCAGGCAGGACAGCAAATGTAGTTGTAGAATATGTCTATACACATGCATTGGAATCCTATCCATCCAGCATCACACAGAAGGACAAGCAATTGGTGAGATACTTTGGTGATCACTACTGGTACAGCCCATACAAGACCAGCAAACAGACAACTGCTGTTACTCTAGCTTCCAAGAACATTGAAAGCTATTCCAAATTGAAACCTGTTAGCCAAACTGAAAGTACCATTAAATATGGTCCTTATAGTGATATTGATGCATTTGGTATTGATCAAATGATCATTCACTATGAAAATAATTCGCCTTTCTTGACTGTGACAAGACTTGAGAGGTTGATTGAGATCTCTCATTGGGGTAACATTGCTGTACAGGAAGATATTGAGATTCTACACACAGGAGCTAAGCTTAAAGGGTCTTTCTCGCGGTATGACTATCAACGTGACACCAGTACAACTCATCATAGCATCAAATCCTACAAAACTGTTTTACCAGCAGCGGCACATAGCATTTATTACCGTGATAGTAATGGTAATATTTCTACATCCCAAGTACGCACGCGTAAAGATTGGATCGAGCTAGAACTACGACCACGTTTTCCTTTATTCGGAGGATGGAGGTCTTCCTACACTCTAGGATACAGTGTACCTAGCTATCAATACCTTTACAAACTCCCAAATGGCAATTACAAGCTGAACATGCGTTTGTTAGATCATGTCTTTGATGATATGCAGGTTGATGAACTGGAAACCAGCATTGTATTGCCTGTAGGAGTACAAAACGTTCAAGTATCTTATCCGTTTGAAGTCACAAAGCTAGACAACGAAGTAGCACACAAATTCCTGGATACAATCGGACGGCAGGTCATCAAATTGAAGAAGACTGATTTGGTAGAACAGCATATTCAAGATATGGAGATTGTTTATGAATGGTCGCCGCATTTACTGTTCCATGAGCCCATTCTTATCAGCATTGCATTGTATGCGATGTTCTTGATTTGTATCATTTATGTTAGGCTAGATTTTTCGATTCATAGCAAAAAGGAGGAGCATTCCAAGAAAGATTAGGTTTAATTGCATAATCACTGAACAATTTTCATGTTTGTACCGAAAATGTAACACGAGATGATTGTGTAACACTCTACACTGCGTAAATAAACATACAAGTTACGATAACCATTTTCTTTAACCTTTTATACAAAAGATGTAAATTTAAGTAATGTAGGCAACCAGCCGAGCATTAATCCTGTGTATTGAGAAAATTTGGTGTTTTTCAATATTTCGATTGCGTTTATCTCGAAAACTAAAAGTTTTAGACAGAAACAATTTGCAGATTCATAATCTACGTCAAATTCTCTATAAGATAAGCTATTAAACTATTAAATAGAAAATCTAGGAGATGAAAAATTAACAAAAACAAAAAATTGGTAAATATTTATTATTTTTTTCTTCCTCTTCGTTAATTTTAATGAATTAAATTTTAAATGTATCAATTAGTTAATAACGGTTACCTCTTTTATTTAAACTGGGTGCTAAATAGTGAACCGTTTCAACGTTCGGTTCATTACTCCAATCAGTCACTGAAACAGTAAACTTTGTTAATTGGTTGTATCGGAAAAGTTTTCACTCCGGCTGGCACCTGCATCAATGTGTTCGTCCGATGATTAGTTTCGCTGGTCTCCGGCAAGATGTGATATATGTTTAACGTCGTTATTTACATAACTGTTTTGAACGGTACTTGAATATGGACCAAACGCCGTCAGATTAAGATAACTGTAGCAATTCATAAGTGCTAATTGGCGCATGAGGGCATCACCCATTTCGAGTGGACAAAAGACATTGCTGGAGAGTATTCATACTTCGTATTCAATTTTGTCGAGATCACAACACAAGAAGTTGTGCACGATGTGTGGTACATCCGTTTGGTGTTTATTGTTTGTGTTACTTTTTGCTGCTGGTAGTAAAAGTGGAGATGTACCTTCAATTTTGACAAATGCTTATGCTAAAGTAGCAAAATGGGGTGCAGCTAATAGTGGTACCCTAGGTGAAGGGCGTAGTTCTAATGGTCAATCATTTTTTACACAAAGGTATTCCTAATATTTTTATATAAAAGTGTTTTTAATTCATGTTTTTTTAGTTCGGATGTAAAACTACGAAGTGGTCAAAATTTAAACAAGGAAAAAGTGGTTTATCATTACAGTGTGCCTGTTCAAAAAGTTCAAAACGGAAAAATTGATTCCGTGATAAAAAAGCAAGGATTTCAAGACAGGTTTAACCCACCTCCAGCGTTCCAATTCGGAGATTCAAAGAGAAATGTTGATCAGGACCATGATCACGATCATGGACCAGTTTACATCCCGCCAAAAGTTTCTTATGACTCACCTATATCTTCATATAACCCAATAGCAAGTGGAATACCAGATTCTTCAAAGTTTACAAATGGAGGACCTAAATATCCTCCATTTAATGATAATCCATCACCATCATCATCACCAGCACCTCCTGCGGATTTCAAAGGACCTTTAAATAATGTAGACGCCAATGGATCTGATTACGACGATTCAAATGATAAGGCACCTCCTGGTATTGATGATAATGGTGATAACAATGACAATAACAATGGAGGTTATCAATATAATCCGCCGACATCAGGTGGGTATCAGTATAATCCACCTACTGCACCTCCACCACCACCTCCGGCTATGTTACCAACACCTGTACCATCAACTACAGCTAAACCACAAGTGATGACATTACCATCACTATCCCATCACTACAAATTCCCTTCGTATGTTTATGATCATCCTCCGATTGATTATGACCATGATCATGAACATAACCACGACCATGACCATAACCATGACCATGATCATCATCAACACCCACCTGATGATCATTCTAATGAAATGCCTGACAATGGACCACCAGATATGCCCGATCAAAACCCTCTTCCGCCTCCTGATCAAAATGATTACCCAGATACAGATTACAATCCAGGAGATGACCATAAACACTCCCTGGATGATATCCCAGAATACCTTGATCATGACCCTCACCTAAAAGGTAAATTCAACCATTTTCCTCTATGGTCCAACTTATATGATGACCACCATCATGATCATCATCATGTTTATCATCCGATTACAACAACGACAACGCCACCTCCACCACCACCGGAACCGGAAGATGAAAACCGTGTCAACAAAGGACACTACAGTTACTACTACCTCGGCAGAAAACTCTACTACATACCTTTGTACTTTAGCGTGTATTTCATTATTTATATAACTGTCTTAATTCTTAAGTCAATCGCGCGTCACAAGGTAAATTTCGTGCATGATTTAGACAATGTTAACAAGGGCAGGAGTCTGGGTGACATCACCAACTCCACTTCTGTTGATGAACTTGCTGAGCAAACAACCAGAGCCATGATTCAATTTAAACGACGTTATATTGCCATGTAATTTGTAACAATCTAAGAGTTATATAATAAAAATATTCTTTGTTTAAGTTTTTTCTTAGAACTAATGCTTCCAGCATAAAACACGCAACAACAATACACGGTCATTAAAGTGTTTTACAATGTTTTTACTGCAACACTGACATTGATTCGTTAATAACGACACGCTTTTCAGTTTAAATGCTTCAGTTTCAATATCAAACGCGTTGTAAAGGCGCAATTAGCTAAATTAAGTGTGTAAACCTATAAAAACACATAATAAAGTGATCAATTGCGCATTATTACGGTGCCATCTTCAATTTTCTATGACGAAAGACATTGAAACCTGTTGATATTAGTTTGTTGATGATCCGTGGGTAATTATAATGTGTGAGCTGATATCACCCTTGGAAAAAAAGTCGTGTTCAGCATCTCGACCTGTCTAAGTTGAAGTTTTTAGTCAAGGATACAGAGTTCAAGATTCCTCTTCGTATTTTTAACGATTTTAGTGTTTTACTCGTTTGCGAATGTAAGATATTGTAGTTTATTCTATCAAAAATGGTACAGTGTTGTATTTGAGGTTAATTTTACTGTTGGGAGTAATAATAGGTTATAATAATAGACTTTAATTGAGGTTATGTTTTTATGAAACAATTTTTTTTATTTTTTTTGTTTGTTTTTCACTAAATCCGGTTCTGTTGTGACAAAAAAACAATTACGTAATGTTTGCAATGATTACTTAACATTAACAAAGTTAGCGCGTTAGTATGCTTGGCAAAAAAATCAATTATCCCAGCAAGCAGGCAGAGTTCGAAAGATTTGACACACAAATTAATCAAATCGATGTTAATGAATTGAAACAATTGCCTTAATTACGCATGCCTTGCATTGTTATCTGGTTTCGTGTGCGGTACCGTTCAATTACGGCGTATTAGGTGCACGACTTAAGTTAATTATCAGTTCGAATAGAAAATTACGCACACGATATTTATTTATCACTTGCGCAATGTTGTCATGCTGCTACCGGCGAGATACCGTTACAGATTCGTCGGCAAGTGTTAAGTATTGTACGAAGAAGAGTTTATCGAAATTATGAAATAACATGGCACCTCGTTGCGTCTGGTCATTTTGTCAGGGTGCTACAATTGCAAACGACGTAGTGTCAACCAGACACACGAAGAAGAAAAAAAAGCCACGAACGAAAACAAGTTCAAGTTCACGATAAACATAAATGTGTTATGGTAACAATAGTAAATAAATAAATATAAATATATTGATTTGAATTGAGTCCAGATCAGGACTTATAAATTTGTGAGCGTGGATTAAACATGTTGGTAACGTTGGTGCCGTTCGTGTGCGGTGTTTGCGTGGTAATGGCCCGCGGCGTTGCGCGCAGCGAAGAATCAAGTTTAAGGACGTCGACGATGGCGATGGCGACATCGCCGGTGAATTTATTGACGACAACGACGCGCACGACAATCAGGTATATATCGATTGCACAATGCCCACATGCACATCACGGCGCTAGAAAACACTCAAAACACTCGTAATCGTCTCCTGGCGCAAACAAAACCACATCGACAACTCAATAATAAACAAAGGAATGCAGCAGATGCTCGATGTGCTCCACACTGGCACAGATTACTCATTCCTTTATTCCTGTGTTACTGTATTACAATCACAATCACAATCCGTCTATACTTATCTGTGATTACTTATTATTACATCATTTTGTTGCGTTCTTTGATAATTTGGACGTTTTTTCTCGTTGCCAGTCCGGAAGATGATGTTTCCAGTCGAGAGGCACGTGGTATGATGATGGACTATGATCACGACATGGGGCACGATGAAGAAGAAGAAATGATGACAAAAGTGGAGCCGGTGGAGGAGCCCAAAGCGGTGAAAACTGATCCGTGGGCTGGATACTATGACTTTTTGATCAACGAAGGATCGTTTAAGTTTTGGGCGGTGTTTCAGGTAATTTTTAATCATTTTCATCCTGCGCATCGTTAATATCGTTTTAATTCGTCTCACCTTCGATATCACACGTTGGCATTGCTATACACACAGTTTAACTTATCATAAACGCTCCGCAAGAACGGATAATCATGATATTGGCCATGTGTACAGTACACGCCACAGCAAATCGTATTTAATGAGATGTTTGATGAGCGTTCCACGTCTGTTACGCGTTGAATATTCGCATTGTATGCTAATGAGATTTCCAGTTGTCATTCCGGCAAACCAAAACGGTTATTTTTTTAATTCGGGAATTTAGAAAACATATTTAAATTAAATTTGAGACTAGAGTAGATATTGACATGTGAATATTTATAATTTCCGAGTTTTTGTTTGTATTTCGTGATGGATAACAATAACAACCTTGAAATTTAATTTCCGTTCAGTTTAGAAGTATATTATATCACATCACAGAATAGCTGACATCTCATAACCATGATTGATAGTGGTAGTAGGCAACCAATTCTGCAATTACAATGCATTAAAGCCGCCTTATTGGTGTGAAGAAAAAGTGTCGTTGCGTTTCTGTGCGGCTTGCAATCGCAATCGCAATTATCTCCGGCTCTGGGTCTGAGCCTGGGTTTCAATACAAACGCATAAACACCCAGCACACACATGTTGTGCTCCCCGAGCACGAGTAATAAAGCATAAACCCGTTTTTGTTGTCTGCTGCAGTTGGGCACCGCGGTGCTGCTCATCTATTCGGCGTTCGCCGCCGTCTACTACGCGAAATTCAATCCGATATCGTCCGACTACGATTACTACGATGACTTCTTCAAGCGCCGGTCGGCGGCGCGCAGCACCAGCAGCGCATCATGGTTCGGTCTGGACGCGCCGACGTTCCAGCGGATTATCGATGCCATCACGTCGAAGAAGTACACGTAGTGCTCGCCTGCACGCTCATAAATTATACCTGTATCTTTAAGAAATAAAAACAAATCGAAAACGGCGTAAATTCCGACTCTAGCACAGCAGGGACAAGATATAAAACTAGCATCATTTCATTTTGGAATTCTGCACATCTGGATATCTGGAAAATCGATGTGCAGATGTTCCACATCCACATGCTGGTTATTACCGCAATACGATGAAAAAAAACACAAATTTTTCCTTAATTTCTACCTGAAACTCTACTTTAGTTTATTTAGTAGCAGTATCACCTGGTTTTTACCTGTAAAACATGTGTGTACACAAGTATTGGTACTACCTTTCGTAGTTCCGAAGAGTACGAAAGCGCACATCGCGCACTTAACTTGACTTAAGTCAAGTGTGCGTCGAGGTAAAGTCTGTTGCCAGGATACGGCGTTTGTTTGGTGCGCTCAGTACTCGCGGCACGCTCGTCCTCATCGGTCGGTCTTTTCACTGCGCGTCCGCAGACGAAGTCGACAAGCCGGAAAGGAAGGAAGACGTCGTTTACTCACTCGCAGCGACCAGTTTTTCGGTCAACGCAAACACACAAAAAGTGATATCGTTTGTTTGTTTTGCCCCAACTTAAGTCAGTGTCCGTAAATCACACACTAACGAGTGTTTAATCATAAACCGGTGTCCGAGCGCGCCCGCGTGTAATTTATTACTTAAGTTAAGTCAAGTCATCTCACGGGCGGACAATGCGCGATGCTGCGCGATGCATAAACACACCAATTAGCTATGCAATGAATGTGTTAACATAAATTAATTATATCGGTGGCGTTTATTGATTGACTCATCATTAAGTAAGATTTAAGTGTAGCGGAATGTACGATTTGCGGCTTACGTAATCGAATGACATTGCCATTGCTGCGAAACGTGAAACAATAAAAACAAAGCATATTATGGATAACTATTCGACCAGACACACGAAAGGACGACCGCTGCCTAAAACCAATTATTATCCACCGACCTATGGACGCACCTACAGACAGGTAAACCTATAAAAGCTAATAATTGAGGTTAGATTTGCATGCGCTAGGCAACCAAGTATACGAAATCATCTAAATACGTGTTTTTATGGTTTAGGAAGTAATTATGTAACACAACACGCTCGTGTGTTCATGCTCACTCTTCGGCGAGTTCATTGTGACCCGCGGACGATTGCGGTTTTTGTTTTCTTGGCTCAAATGTGTATCATTGGTTCCGCGCATGTTAAAAAAACTTAATTGTAACTGTAACGCGATACAACACCGGGAATTTTAAGCACAATACTCGAAATTTACCTGCGTAGTAAACCGAAAGATGGAAATTTGTAAGTTTAATGTGCGTTTCCCACATTCAACCGGTTGGAATTGACCTTGCACTCGTGAAGATGCTTCGGAATGTAAAATATTACGTTTACAGCAAGAAGATTTAAGCTGAATGATAACTGTATTCCCATAATGAGATTAATCTTATAATTAACTGCCAAATATTTGATTTTCTATGCGTGTGACAGCGACCGGAAAAGGGGGCGGAGCTTAATTAATAGTTTGTAAGAATATTTGCCATTAATATCGAATATTAAGCAGTTTTTTGCTATAGAAATCATCGTGGAATGCGTGTATGGCTATAAAAGTTTTAATTTGACTCTGTTTACGCATTATATTTAAATTCGGACAACGGGACCGGGTGTCGAGCGTCTTCATCTTGGGCTTTTTATCGTTTATCGCCTCCATCGGGCGATTCTCTTGCTTGAGACGTCGGGCCTGAATGGCGAACAGTTACTCGCGGCGTGGCTGGTATTTTATATGCTACCGCGCGATTATATGCGCGATTCTCCGCGTCCTTTTATGCTAATTTTGTTCCTGAGGCATGTGTGTGCGCGCGCGCATGGTGCGCTCGTAAAGCACCACGGAGTGCATCGGCAATTGTTGTCGACAAGCGCTTACACACGAAGAAGAAGCAGAAGAAGACACCGGAGAGCATGTGTTGACAGGAAGTTGTATTCTTTATACCTACTCTTAACGCGAACAAAAAGAAAATTTCAATAAACCAGCGTCATTTCAGATTAAATCAGCGGAAACCAGTTTGTTTCTGATGATTATATGCAACCAATTATACAAAATGCTGAAAAAACGTTTAAATTATGTTTTAGCAAGAAAATCAACACGTTTTGTTTGGATAATCCTTATAAACAAATTAAGAACTTCCACCAGCGGTGATTACTTCCGGTTTGTTATTATTTTCTTTCTGCGTTTATTGCTAATGTTGTAATTCATCACGAATGCACTCTTGTACAACTAATCGTTTCAATTACACTACAACATTAAATTGAATCGCGCTGCACTCGCTGCGCATTAATCAAATCAAAACCAACATGGCGGACGATAATAATAATACTCTGATCTACTAACCTCACTGCATCAGTGAATGCCGTAATCCCAATGACGATTGATTGAACTCATGCTGCTCTTGATTAAGCACATTAACAACTCTTGCGGAAATCACAGTCATGGAAACTATGTCACACAAAATGGCCACCGAGATGAAATCATAACCAACAAAAATAAATTTTAGCACTATGCAAATGAAATTTTCTATAAAATCTTTATCTGCGTTTGTTATTATTTATTTTGCTTCATGTATATTCATTTGCACAATAACCAAATGAAAATGCAGTGTAATATTCATACATGCATACAATTTGCGTATGAAATGTTTGTATTCAACGCATTTGCATCGTTTGTACGCGAAACTCTCACAACATGAAATTCTATGTTGAATTGTTGAATATAATATGAATGCAATGCAAGAATTCATCTTCCTTTACACACTGTCATTAAATATGCGTGTGCACAAACTAATTTAATTCATTTCTGCGCGTTTTTAATGTGCTTCGTTAGCGCACACCTTAGGTTAGGTTTGGGCATGCGTTTGAGGTTATGTAACACGTGGATAATCACCGTATCATTCTTCGCACATACACGAGACACGAACGCGTCGAAGAGGAAGCGTCGTACTCAATGAGCATAATAAGTGGGCATTATTCGTACGCGGAATAAATTTTCACGCAAGTTTAATTTATTATTGGCAGTTGATCATGTGTTTTGTTTCGTTGTTTGATTTCCAACACAATGCACACACATGAATGTGGTTACAATTTGGTTGATTTTGATGGCGATGCGGTTTTTGCAAGGAGGTTCGTCTTGTTTAATTGCCGCACGGTGTCGTCGTCGACGTCTTCGCGGGCTTCGTGGGTTTCGCTCTTCGCGCGCGCACGCAGCCATCGCCTGCCATTGACCGTAGCAGGTCGGAGCAGTGGACTCGCTCGTATTCACATACATCTTTCGCGCGACGTCTTCAAACGTGCCCGCCCGAGATGCCGAGATGTTTGCACTCCGCTTCGTCTTACAACTGGTTACGAACTTACTACATTCTGGCAACATGCTCACGATGTTCACTTAGCAATTTTACTACAATCTACGCCGGCGTCGGCACGCCAAACGCTCAACTTTTCATATTATTGATATTCCATTCTCTGCAGCGACTGTAAATCATATTTGACATGGAAAATTAATCTAAACTGTTATTTGTGTCTTGTTAAAAATGTAATTTGTGTAATTATGTCCTTGCACACCTCGTAAGCACACAGTTTATTAAAAACGTGCCCGCTGTTTTCGTTAATAGGATTTCCAAGTCAGTGTCCTTTATGATATAAATTGCCGAAAACTCGTGCGGCATGCGCAAACGCACGAGTGACTTTGTACCGAAATAATGAATCAGCATCTGGCGCTGCTGGTCAAATGCCAATTTAACGAACGGTTCACGCGAATTGCGACGGCAGTCATTCATAATTCATCGATCCCGCAGCTCCCGCTGTGACATAACGCTCATAATATTTAATATGCGCCGCGATGAAGCAAAAAACGCGAAAATTGCAATTGGAAGGAAGCGACAGTTTGCTCGCTTGGTGCAAGAGTAGCAAAGCGGCAAAAAGGCCGAACGTTCCGCATTCTTGCACACCGAATGGGTTCATTTCAAATTGTTACCTTATGCTTCTTTCTAGCTCACTCGCTAGGCCCTCGCGCAAAACGGACTTCCATCGTCATCGGCATCTTTGGCATTCGGTTTTTTCGTGTGCTCGTTATGCGCTTCTCATTTGTTTCATTCGTTTAATGCGCATTTTCCACATGGTTGTCGTTAAAAATGCTGTACTTTTTGCGTTACAGAATGACTACGCGTTTTCATCACGAAATTCAGCGCTGCTCTGGCATGATACGAAACAAATGCCTAAAGTTGCTGCAACTGGTCACTCAAAGGGCAAATATTGCTCGATAGCGCTCGCTGCAGCGACGTTTTTTGTTCTTATTGCAGTCTTGTCTATTGCTGGGCTTGCTTTGTACATGGGAGCACTTAGAAGTGAACCATCATCACGTAAGTTTTGTATTTTAAACATTTTATGACAGATTTTTATGATTTTGTTCTCCAAACAGCTTTGATTACGTTTTTATGCCGAGCGAAAGTCGTCCGCGGTGATAGATTCATTGTAGGACTGGTTGATAAAGCTCGACGCTACCGAATGCAGTTCGAAACTTTATACCAACGCTCCTCACTAGGTGGCGCGTATGTTTCCAGCACTGTTGATAAATTCGGTAATGATACACGAACAATATTCTTCCGGGTAACGTTGAATCGTAAAAAAATACCAAGACAGATCTACAATGTCGAAAAGAGTCTCAAAGATATTCTTCTGAGTGATGCCAATAGTAGAAAACCTGTGTTTCCGGGTATACAATTCGAAGCAAAGTCTTTGACTGTCAAAAGAGTCGATGCTGATTTGTATCAAAGACAACCCGTTAATGTATCGACAAAACCTAAAGAAATCACACTACCCAAACGTCCTCATCCACATGGCATGCTTACAAAACCCTCGCAGGTTGCTACAATTAAGAAGATTACTAATGACACTAAAGAAGGTACCATGCAAAGCTCATTTGTCCAAGGGTCGTTTAAAATCACCAAAACAGACGCGGATATCACCGAGAAGAATACGACAATCGGAACAATTACGGCCACACAGTTGAATGTGAATACGCAGGGGTCAACAAGACCGCAAGCGGCTTTGTCTCCATCTGTGGTACCGCCGAAGCTGAAAGAGACCTACGTCACGAGTGCATTGTTCAAGCTTGCGTCTGCGAAACCGACCACGACCACAACCACTGCACCTTCCTTATCGTCATCGCCATCATCAACATCGGCGATATCGAAATCATCAACAACGGCGACCCCGACCACGACGACCACAATGCGTCTGCCAGACAAACACAGCGCACACACAACTGTTGCCACGAAGGTCACGACGCAGCGTCCGATAAATCCATTCTTTGGTTCGAACCTATTCAACCAGGAACCTTGGGTGCCGATTTATCACAGCTTGGAGACGAGCACGGCCACAACGACACAGTTGGATGTCAAACAGCCGGAGCATGCGCATGTGGACAACAGCGAACCTATTTATACCAGCTTTACTAATCAAGGCCTTTCGTGGCAAGGTCTGGACGCTGAACGTCTAGGGTCCACAAAGGTTGAAGGGCATCCATTGCCAGTGAACAAGATATCCGATGCTACATCACCGATTGATTCAGGGGCTGATGAGGTGTACTTTACAACACCTTATTTAATATATTCGGAAGCAGAAACTCCTCTTTCTGAAGAAACGGTGATGCAGGGAATTGAGAACCGTCAAGGGGAAGATGACCTCACCCTCTTAAATGATCCTAGTACCACTTTAGAGACTAGATTTGTTGAGGTGGCTACTTTAAAGTATCCTGGAATGATTCATAGTATACAAAAACAACTCCTGGAACCAGCTGGTACCATTTCTAGTAGTACTACAACTTCTACCACACCAGCAAGTACTACTTCTACTACTACCACTACTGCCACTCCAGAAAGTCCTAATGTAGGTCAAGCTGAGGTTATAGAAGCTGATGAAGTATCTCTAATGATGGCCACAACTAAATTACCTCTTGTGACCCTTTTACCAGTAAAGTCCAACTCAGGTGTTGGTAGACCCATTCGGCCAAGACCCAAAAGACCCAATGAAACATCAGAAACACGCAGTTTTGCCACAAACAGCAAAATAAACGATTTTACCAGTTCTGGTATACATAAATCTGACCTACCCTATGTACACACTGAAGTGGTCACCTCAGTAAGTCAAGAATACACCCACAAAGTCAAAACCAATAAAAACAACCTAAACGCCTTCCAAATAGTCGGCGTTTTAAATTTTGCGACTGAAATACCCACAACTACAGAATCCTCAACTTCACCTCCTGAAGAACTCATCAAAATGGAACCCCAGCCATTTCAACAGATCCTAACCCCAGAAAAACTCGCGGAATTATCAAAAATAAGCAAATTAAACACTAATTCATCATCGGGGGTAATTTCTACAAAAGCTGTGGCAAGCGCAAGTTCAAATTCGAATGGTTTTAACATGTTGACGAAAACCTATAACAAAATTCCGCTGGAGGATGTCTTCAAAGAAGAAAAGAACAAATTACCTCACGTCGGTTATAATCCGCTGTACTTTGAATCGATCAACGCGTCGGAATGCACGAATTACACGATACAATGCGGGGACGGACAATGTTTGCCCAACTCGACGCGCTGCAACAATTTGGTCGACTGTGCGGATGGTTCCGACGAGAAGGACTGCAACTGCGCCGATTATCTGCGCTCCCAATTCTTGCTGAAGAAGATCTGCGATGGTATCGTGGACTGTTGGGACTTTTCGGATGAAAATCGTTGCGGTAAGTCTCGACGTATAGAAATAGACAATCATAATTGCATTATGTTCAGATTACAAAGCACTCGAAGATGGCAAAGAGATTGTTGTTGTGAGTAATAATAGCGGGGCATGATCTTCGTGCTGTGTGACATAATAGCTATGGGAATTGTAACATTGTGCGAGCGCGGCCATTGTTCGAAATAAGCTCATAACTGTTTTCCTAGATTTTGCTATGCACGAGAGCCATAATGAAAACAAAGTGAATCCTAAGCGACATATTATTCTTCATCATCTTTATCTTCATTATAATAACGTGTGCTTTTTAATTTTAATTTAGACTGGTGTCAACCGGGACAATATGTCTGCGGGAATTCAAAGATGTGTATTAACCGGACGAGTATCTGTGATGGTGTTACCGATTGTCCGAATGGTGATGATGAACGCCAGTGTGTGACAGTAGCGCCGGATTTAAACTCCGCTGATGAATTCCCGTACAATGCGGATGGGTTTCTGATGGTGCGAAAGAACGGCGTTTGGGGCAAGCTGTGCGTGGCGAACTTTGACTCGGTTGTCTCCAGGTCGCGGATGAGCTGGGAAGTTACCGATTTGGGTCAGGCGGTTTGCAAAGCAATGACTTACAAGTGAGTAATTATCATCATCCGACTAGATTACTTCTGTTTGTTGAACTTATAGAGTAATTCATCATTGTGCTATGCTTTGTAACGTGTAGGAAACTGGAGTCTACGAATGTAATCAAAGAAAATGTCTTGAACACCCGCTATGAAGACACACCATACTACGAATTGAGTTATTCATTCAACAATGCAACGAAATCAAGTCTAACCTTTGAGAATACCACGTGTGAGGCGAAAGAGGTTGTTGTGGTTAAGTGTGATTCATTGGAGTGCGGTGTACGACCTCAACTTGGAAAGAAAAACGCTAGGTAGGTGTCTATTGACGGTGATAAATTTGGATGAATTATGATTAGTCGTGTGTACAGGATTGTGGGAGGTGGTAATGCTGGTTTGGGCGCGTGGCCTTGGCAGGCGGCTTTGTACAAGGAAGGAGAGTTTCAATGTGGTGGTACCCTTATCTCAGAACGATGGATATTATCAGCTGGACATTGTTTTTATCAGTAAGTTTTGTATTTTCATATTAAAGAAGAAAAGTTTTAAATTTTTGATTTTTAGTTCCCAGAATGATCATTGGGTGGCGCGTATGGGTAACCTTCGTCGTGGTACCTCTCTACCTTCACCCTACGAGCAATTACGGGATATTATCAGTATTCACTTGCATCCTGGCTATGTGGATGTGGGTTTTATCAATGACATATCACTTTTAAGAATGGAAGTGCCTGTTATATTTAGTGATTATGTCAGACCCATATGTCTCCCGCCAGCTGGTGTGGCCCCACATGATGGGAGAATCTGTACTGTTATTGGTTGGGGCCAATTGTTTGAAATTGGACGTATTTTCCGTAAGTTTATAGACAAAACTCTTATTATCCATAAAATAATAATATTATTTTGTTCATAGCTGATACCCTACAAGAAGTTCAGGTACCAATCATTTCCACAGCTGAATGTCGCAAAAGAACCCTATTTCTACCGTTGTACCAAGTAACAGACGACATGTTTTGTGCTGGTTATGACCGTGGTGGTCGTGATGCTTGCCTAGGCGATTCTGGTGGTCCTCTAATGTGTTCCGAAAGTGATGGTAGGTGGACCCTTCATGGGATCACCAGCAATGGCTACGGGTGTGCACGTGCCTTCCGTCCTGGTGTTTACACCAAAGTTGCTAACTACCACAACTGGATCCAGTCCTATGTGAATACAAATCAAACAATTGAAGCTAAAAACAACAAAAAAGTTGATAAATGTAATGGACACAGATGTCCACTAGGCGAGTGCTTACCTAAAAGTAGAATTTGTAATGGATTCATTGAATGTAGTGATGGTAGTGATGAAAATGGATGTTTGAAAGGGCTGAAGAGTTAATACAGTGAAAAGAAAAGAGATGAAGATATAATGTGCTAGGCGGCGGACAGAAACCCAAAAGTTTGACATCTTCGACACCTAGCACATACGACATGCATCGTGATATATATATTTTATTTAAAAACGTATTCCATATTATTTATTACGCATGTGTACAATAAATATAGATAGACATTGAATGGAAGGAGTTTATTCAGTTGACAAGATGGCGCCCACCGGAAATAAATATGTATTACTATATCTACTAACAATAATAACTAACAGATTAGATTAGATATATACAAAAACCTTTTAATTGTCGAAAATATCAGTCATCACGATATATTTACGTATGTCACACAGGTTCAACTTTAAACTATTCCATTCACATCCGGTTTCTCTTTATTTACATTAGCATTATTATCCGTTTCTGTTTTAGTTTTCATTTCCGTTTCTTCAAAAGCTTGATTCGTGTGTGTTTTATCATCTTTATCTTTATCTTTATCAGGTAATCCTTTGTTCAATTCACTAATTCCATTGGCTTTAGTGTCCTTTTCTTCAATTTCGTCTTCTTTTTCTTTCCGAAGATCCGTCCTGGACTTCATATAAAGATGGAAGAAAGCAAAATATAAGAATGCTGTTAGGAAGGTAGTGGCAGCAAACATTTGGAAAGTGGCACGCATTCCATAGAATTTAATCAAGTATCCTCCAACCAGACTACCCCCACTTTTACCAACTCCATAAAATAGCCCGCCGATTATTCCTTGGATTGTTGTGTCTGTTGTGACGGATGATAACTTCGCTGCGTATGTTATCAGTGCAGTGAAACACAACGAGTGAGTAAGACATTCCATTGCTTCGAATATCAGTGAATACCATGGATTGTAAATGATTGAATAGCCATATAACCTTACAGCATACGCGAGGAATCCGATGAAAATAATATTGGCATGACCAAACTTTTTGATTAGTGGCCCGGAGAATGCCAGTAAGGGAATACCCAATATCCCACCAACAGTTATGGTAAGTCCCATAAGAGATTTGGTACCTCCTAAATCATCCAGCAACCAAAATAGGTAACTTTCGATATAACCCCATGCAGCACCTGTAAAAATATAATTTTTAATATAAAATTAATGAGAAAATTCATGGTACGTACCTAATAAGAATGCAGCAACAAATAACGAAACCAATTCGACTTTTATCACAGATTTTACATCTGCCACAACACTACTGGCAGGTGTTTTGAACTCTAAATTAATGAACAACATTAACACAGCGCTGGTAACCTTCAACCCACAGTATAAAAAGAATATAGGTCTGAAATCAGTATATCCTTTGCCTTCACTAGCATAATCAATCAATAATCCACTCAGGGGTGAGCTAATCATACCACCAAGTTGAGCGTACATTCTTTGTAAACCATAGTCTGCTTTGTACTCTCTCAAAATGGCGATGACAGCTCCTTCAAACATAGTGTATGCGGTACCACCAATGATTCCAATGAAAACCCTTACTCCCAGGTATGTCCAGAATGTCAAATTGACATCTTTTTCAATGACTCTCTTTGAGTTCTTGCAAAATTTCTCTCTGGGTGCACTTGCTATGCATCTGGGAGCACATGTACCCAAATCTATTGTCCGGTAGATGTCAGTAGTGTTTTCTTTTGATAAGTCTACACGCACAGACAGATATTCTTTGTTTTGGCCATAACCTTCAGCACAGTATGCATTGTGTTTACCTTGAGGTAAATTCAAATATCTCACTTGGAACATTTCTCGTAACTCATTCATATCATCATCAGATTTGTTTCCTTCTTTTATCCCAGCAACAAATGAACGTAGGACATTTTTCGTGCTATATTTACACTCGTAGTTTTCAACGGGTAAATCAAAACCGTGTTCTGCATTCGTATGATTATAAGAATCATCTTTCGACGAGCCGTCAGGTTTGGTTAATGCACAGCTAAAATTAAACATGGCCGTCGCCGGAAAGTAATACGAATGTTTCGAGTATCTTCTCACAACAGTCGTGTACCTCTCGTCATTTTGTAACTTCATATGATTCTTTATATCATCATCAATTTTATATTTTGGTGGATTTGTCATGTTTACATTTCGTAATGTTGGATGCATAACTTTCACCGATGAAGTCTTGTTTTCTTTGATATTGTGCATCATGATATCGTAATACTGCGCACGCAAAATGGCGTCGCCATCAGCAGTGTCCACGTACGCTTGACAGACATATCCACATGATTCCACCGAGATTTCGGATGTAAAAGCCATGTTTGCATCGTTTTCACATGGATATTCTTCATATAATGAGAGAATAAGTGGATTTTGAGCGTTGCACGACATGCCAAGGACAACTCGGTCTGGATATGTCACTGTAACTCTTCCGATCGGTATCGTCAACAGCAACAAAGCGGAAAGACCACTGCATACCGAAAATAACGTTAGCATTATCTAAACATAAAAAATCAAAAGTTACGTAACGGCACAAACATGTTCCGAATGATTTACAGTTTATTTTATTTAGAGGTCATTAACAGTTGAGAGAAACCAATTCGGATTACCTTGAAATTGCCGATTTTATCAGCGATGAGTCCAGCTAAAGGCGGCATTAAGATCCCGACAACAGGCGTTAACGATGACATAACTGCCGTTTCTTCGACGTTTATTCCTAATTCTCGCATGTGTATGGTTAGATATGGATATAAAACCAAGATGGCTGTAAATCAAACGATCATCTGTGTATTCAGTTGCATATGTGAGGCGTAAATATCAAATATGTTGCGCATAATGAACCGTAGCTCAAATATTGCAAGAATAGCATTTAATTGCACAAAACTTGTGCAACTTGTGACGCTTTCATGTCGAGCGTTGTTATGTGCTATTCAAAGCGTTCGTTTTTTGTTGTTTGCGTTGCTGACTTTGGCATACTTTCCAATTTTTTTTTTATTCAGAGATAAATTAATAACTAGTAACCAAATCGCGGTGATGAGGCTCACCTACAAGTCAGGGTCGTCTTCGTGCAAATATTCAACTGGTTATTACTTCCAAAAAGCACACAAACAATGATTGAGTAGAAGAGAATCGTATTGACATAAATGATTAAATGTAAAATGTAAATCCCGTGCGGTTAATGTGTTTACTACGTTGGCATACTTTCTTTAATCGTTAATTAAGCCAATTTAACTACTTACTGGACATGTGAACAAAAAATAAGATTTTGACAGGCAGGAGTTCTTTCTGCTTGAAATCTTTGATGATTGGCACAATCAGCCACTCTCGGAACGTCGCCATCTTGATGGAACTTGCGTGAGTGAATCCAAATCACTCTCAAAACTTTGATTAAATACTTTTTAAGGAACACCGGGGCATTCGTGATGTTTAGTTGAAGCTCTAAAATTCGAGACAAACACAATCAATCATTATTTTTTAATATAAAATGTTTAAGTCTCATCGTCACGCAACTCAGGAAGTAATTTTGTTTCGAAAAATACAAAAGTAATTATACTGTTTGTTTAAAAATTGATTACGCCGCATAGTTTTGCTTACATTTGTATAATTTGTTTGCGTTTGTTATATAGAATTCATAAACCAGGTGTTAAAAAATAATTACTCAAATTGTATAAGTGGTTGCATAACACGAGTGTCATACGTGAATACCAACTAACCAATTTTGTTACCTTGAATCATCTATTGTAAATTGAACAAAACACAACGAATGTCAATGCTGATGTACATGCGATTCAATCATTAAACATGAAAACAAGGTTTATTTTAATCTATTTTCAATTTGAAAAAACAATTTTGCAATAGTCTGCACTATAATTTTCTTTGCGAGTGCAATTAGATATTGCGCAAATTCATAGATTGTTAAAATGGTGAAATAACTCATTTGATTGTAATTTAATCGACAATTAGTGACTTGCAGATTGCGGTTTTGTTGAGACGAACTTTCAAAACGTGCATTGTTCATAAGAATCATTTATCTTAACGATTTCTTCATCGGCGTGCATTTTATGCGCTTTATACTGCATTTTTTCTATAAATAAATTTATCTACACTTGCAGCTAATGTCTGCTTTTTATTATTCATAAAAAAAAAACAAGCGAAAAAAGAACTTAACGATGCATTTTTATAGATTTAATCAGCATTTATTAAGTTTTATTTGTTTTGGCCATTGTATCATGTGTCAGGATAAATAAATTAATCCAGTGACAGAACAACAATACTTTATTATGATTATTACCCGGATAGTTCCGCTTTTTTAACATATTATCGTGTCCTGATTTAAATGCTTTGTAAAATCAAAAGTACCGTGACGTAGATAACAAAATCCTCCGACGTCATCCAATTTCGTAATTGATTCTTTAAATAAAGTTAGAATTTAATTAAAAACAAGTTTTTCGCAACTCCCAACAAAAAATGCGTTGATTTTATATTAAATTTATCGAATAGTGAGAGTTTCCAATAATAATATTTGAATTTTTCACCCACATCGTTCATAAAATCGAGAAATTTCAACATTCAAACAGATTTCACTTTCTAATTGCACTGTGCAGTCTATCTACGCTCATATTAAATCAAAATCACTAACTATCGCCACATATCTTCAAATCACTACAACTATTTGGTTTAAAATGTGACTTACTCGTTTTAAAAAGTTGTTTTCCACTTGAATATGTAAAAATATTCAATTTATAAATACGACAACATTATCACATCATGATTTAGTTAGTATCAACTGTGTTTATTCTCTTTTGATAGTTGTAGTTGGCGCTGAATGTTGTTGGTCACTCTTCAAACAGTTTCAAACACTGAATAATGGCTGTTTTTGTGTCACTGGACACAGTTTGTTTGCAAGTCGTTTGTAACAATGTGTTCCAGCACAGTCCAGATTGCGACTGGCCCATCGGCCGATGATAATAGCGGCTTATAAGCGAGCGTTATTATTTAGTTAAGATTAACGAACGGACGATGGATGGACGCGACCGTGCGCGCAGAAGTTAAGTCGCGGAGTGATTGCAAACGCGCACGGCTCAGAGTTTAAATTTACCTAAGGACAAGTACAAGTACCACTACGGTGGACATACAATAGTTAAGTAATTAATATGTATAATACCTACTTTGTTGTCATTGTTGCCATTGTCACAGAGGCTTTGATTTGATGTTATTTACCGAATTAATATTCTAAGAAGACTTTCAATAACAAAATCAAATACCTGTAAAGTACTAATGGTGGTAATCACCGTTCAAATTTTAACTCGACCAATTAAAAACTCGTTTGCACTGGGAAATTATTCAGAGTTACGTCATTCAGACCTTGCACTTGAGACTAATTGCACTAATAAATCATTAATATATCTTTTTAGACTTAAAATTGAGTTTTTAAACCTAATTCTCTTGCATTAAACTTTTAACTTTCATTTATTTACATTTGTGTAGTAACAAAATCCCTAAGTTCAAATTACAATCAAATTAAACTCTCCTTGTTAAAGTTAAGACTTTAGTCAAGGTTGGAAAACTTTGTTAGCATCCTATTTAAAGAATTTGCAGTGTATGGTTGTCAACACTTAAATAATATATTTAGATACCTTAGATAAAGAAAAGTGTGAACATAACACACTATTAACAACATTCTTTGACTTGTTATCGATGGGAATTTTTGTATTTTCTGGTATTTCACACCTAGACATTGTATTTCTTAAGTTTTCTCTCAAATGACGTTGCAAAAGATAAAAATTGCTTCAACTTTCACTGATAACACCAGATTACAACAGATTTATTGCGAATGGAATTAAATTTAACGTTTTAGGTTCGACAATGATTTGAATGTAGATGAATACGTACCAAATCGTAGTACATCCATTGATTAGCTCGCATAGTTCACTCACTCGCGGCTGCGCGATTATTTATTGAGCAGGATGCGACAAATTAATGTTTACGACGTGAGCGGCAAGAGGACTTATCGCTTCACAATGTGTACACAATGCTACCACAAATAATTGCACATCTTTTATTGTTCGCTTGCCGAGCCGCGATTAAATCGTTCGGATTCAATGAAAGCAAAACAATAAGTTGCTGATTGTCAACTACTGCTAAAAGATCAAGAGCATTGATCGTTTATAATCATAAGTACAAGTTCAAAGTTAATATCAATACACAATATGTAAAGATTTTGAAAGTTTTCGAATGTTTTGAAGATTATTCTAATATAAAAAGCTATTTATTTGTTCATAACTTGAAACAGCATAACAATTAATACAATCAACATATAAATAAATATAAAATAATTAAACACAGCTGTCAAAGAGATCCACAAGTCTTCGTATTTCTTTCCTGGGTTGGAGGTTACACAAGGTTAAGAAAAATATCAACTGAAGATTTTTACATGAATTTTGTGCATTATTTTAAAAGGATACAATCTTGTAGCATGAATTTGCACTAGTTTCATTGCTTGTGTGACTTCTTCGGCTTTTGCCATCATAGTATACATACTCTACAAAAATATTAAACATTATCACAATTGAAATAAATGTTTTCTTCAAAACTAACCTTAATATTAGCATCCATTGCATCTGACATTTTGGAAACAGCATTTTTATAAACATCTACATTATCAGCAGTTATTGAAGAAATCTAGAAATGAAATAAACATTAAATGTTTAAATAATCATTGATAATTACTTACAGAATGTAATATTCCACATAAATTCTCAGTTAGATTGTCAATAGAAGTAGCAATTCTTTGTGCTTCACACTCCAGATCATTCAGCAGCCTGTTATCAATCTGTCCAATTTGTGGCACCAGTAATTGTCTGTATAAAGTGCTAGGTGTGCAACTCCTTGATGAACTGCCTGGAATAGGTGGAGTATCACACTTTTTAGCTTGTGGACTAGACAACTTAATCTTATATTCTAAATCTTCAGCCACAAAATGTGTCATATTGCCTTCAATGTGCACAGACCCTTCCAGAGTCAATGGTCCCAAAGGTCTCTTATCACATTGCAAAGTAACTGGCCTCCTGGCATTGTCCTGCAGTGAATTGGAATCCACTGATGAGAGTGTTGGCAGGTCAATGTCAGGACTCTGGCCAGACTTGAAGGAGATTTCACTGTAGGATGCTGTCATCTGGGCTGAGATTTCATCATCATTGTCTACTTCTTGATCAATATCGTAGTGATGTTGTGGAATTGGTGGCTGTGGGCTTGTTTTCCGAGGCCGCTGGGGATTAAAAATGAAATAGATGTAGTTTAATGAATGCTGGTGGTTGTGGATGAATAGTTACGGCTGGTAGCGGGGGCGGTAAGCTTGGCGGCGGCTCTTTTGGAGGCCCAGGAGGTGACGGTAATGAACTGTCTGAATCCATTGTATTTAAAACTATTATAAAAGTTTTAATGCATTAGTTAAATCGTCGATATCGTCATTATTGCTGTAATATGAGTTTGTAAAACGTATTCGAAAACACTGATCATTATGACAATCACACAATCGCACAGTAAACAAAAATCGAAACCACGAATTGCCGCAGAAGTTCAATAGAGGGGATTCTGCAGGATTTTACTATAGGCAATCCACAACGCGCTGCACAAATTTTGAACTTTATCGCCTTTTTATCGCTCAAAATGATTAGATATATTAATAGAATTATGTTATTTATTAAAATGAATATATTTTATATGTTTTTATAATGTATTTAATTATTTTAATTAATATTTTGACGGTTTATAGTTGAAATGTTGGCAACGTTGCTTGAAATTGCTTTGGTTTGTCAGTCGATAGAGTTCTTTTTGATATTCAAGTGTAAAACGGACAAATTCACTAGATCTACATCTAAATTCATATTATTTAAAGCTAGAAAACGCTGGAAATTCATAAAAGTGCCTACATTCTTTGTGATTATCGCAGGTAAGCGTTAAAAATCAAATTTCAAGCACGCAGCGCGATCTGTAGATGTATATGATCAAAATAACCGTTCTTCATTTTCGATTTTCGTAGCAGCGAGCAGAACTTCCGTTAGTGTACCGGCGGTGTCGGTTCGTTCCCGTGCATGTACACAGCTCTCTGCACTGACACAACCGTATTGTGTTGAGCGCCGTCGGCCGTCACATTCGCCGCCAGAGTAGTGTGAATCAAACATCAAACCGAGTGCAGAAACCGCATGTTTCGTGTGCAAGTATAGATCTGGTTGGAAATTGAACAGGGTATTGTCTGCACCTTCTGCACACTGCCAGCGCTAGCGGCCGCCGAAGAAGAGGCTGAAGGAGTCGTAGCAGTAGCGACCCGTCTTGGTCCTCTCTCGCTGCCCACGTTTTCTGCATGCACAACGCGCCGACTGGGCGCTGAACACCCTGAGCCATGGCGAGTCCATTAACGGTCGGATGTAGCATCAACATCAAACGCACCGATGGTGAGTACAACAGTACAAGTACACGCTGCTGAGTAATCGCTCCTCGCTGCCTTGGAGGTGCGGTGCAAGCCGGGCGATGCCTTCATGTGTCTTCTCGAAATCGTGAGAACAAAAAACCTAAACCGTGGCCCGGCCCGGCATTGTGTCGTTCAAATTCACATCGAGGCAATTCATTAAATCAAGTTTAGTCTAATTCAACCACAAGTCAACAAACATCAGCTTAATAATTCACCCATAAACAGCAGTTATTTTTAGTGCTTTGGTCTATTACATTGATTTTTTAACGTTCATACGTTATCAACCCTCATGTGCATTCGACTGCATCGATAAATTCAAAATATGCGCACGTAACACGTGGTGATAAGCAGAAAACCAGTACAAATTCAAATCTCGAAGAATTCTACAAGTTTTTACGCAGTTCACGCAATGTGAGCAAGAAATTCTTGCCGTGCGTTGGCGACATGACCTCAGACTATAAATTAAATAATAAATACACAACGAAAACAAGGAACTAATTCATTAAATCATCAATAATTCAATATCCCACGACCAGTGAGTGCGATTACAGCAAATTGATTGAGTTTAACATATGAAAAACGAATGTTATTTCTGCAGATTGATCCATTTATAGAATTTTGTCGCATTGCACGCGAAAGAATCGCAATGAACTTGTTTAAAACAATTAGGCGCGCGTTGGTTCGATTAATTCTCGCCATGAGTGGAAATCCAATTGCACCAAGGTCTCCTCGCCCCGGCTAAACGTACGCGCACACACCGTTCGAATGATTCAACATTCAACCAACATGTGTTGTTTGTCATTATGGATTACAGCGAGCCTGAACTCGCAAAAGTTGTGTGCGCGCTGCAATGCGTTGCGTGCGAGAGGTTTCATGTTCTTAATCGATTCGATTTGGCGGAAAGGGATTAAATTTTATTCTCAAAACTAAACAAAAGAGTTTCGCAGAAAGTTTCACTGCAAAAAATAATCAATACGCATGTAAAATGCAGAAATTGTGTCGCAAAACATGAAGAAAAATTGAATTTTAACGGTTTTTTAATGAAATTATTTTTTGTTTTGTTGTTATTTTGTTCAATTGAAAGTTTTACTGTAAAAAATACTCAATACGCGTGAAAATTGCGTAAATTGTGCCAGAGAACATCCAAAAATGATATCATACTCACTGGTTAAATATATTTGTCATAATGTCATCGTTTTCGTACGTGTTTTACACGAATGTGAAACTTATGCGTGGGTGCCTCATCTAAAACGGATGACCTAACGAAAAGTAGTAGATATTCATGTTTTCAAACATTTTAAGTTGTAGCCGTTGTTAATTTGAGACAAATTTACTACGAGTTGCTAAAAATTAACTTTTTATCTCCCAATAGTCGCTTCTAATCAGTTTTTTTGAGACTTTTTTGAATGTGTGTAGGCAAAAACGATGACGCAAGCTGATTTGAATTATGCTTTGCCATATATGGGCCCTTCGTGAGCGTGGCGAGCGAGCAAAATCTCGTCTATGGCTCTGTCAGTGGAAGGCTGGCCACCGGCTGGCAATGGCGGTGCAGAAAACGCGAAACTTTTTTACATATGTAGAGAAACACGAGGTCGTGCTGCTGCCTCACCTTAAATAGGGTGTTAATTTGTGTCAAATCAAGCGGAGTATTGATGACTTTTGCGTTTATTACAACACTCGTGTTATTATTTGCTTGAATTGTGGAATCAATCGTGTGTATGATATCATACATCATGCAAAATATTTAATTAAAGAGTAGATGAAGTACAAATAACAAATATTGATTGTATTGTACTTGTTTATGAACTTGTTTTATATTTTTCTATATTGATTTTTGTTTCGTGGTTCAAAAATTGGTTTTGAGATAAAATAAATCATAAATTCACACATCATAGAGATTGTTCCACCCACCATTTGCTTCTACTTACGAAAAGTGTTTATATGTTGAATTGTTACACTGATCATTAGTTACCAACGGACGCGCTTCGGATTTTAATCGATTTTTCATTCTTACTGCTCAATATGTTAACTACAATGTTAATAGCGCTGTTATTCTGTTACTTATTGTTGAAGTATGTGCGAAAAACGCGTAGAAATGCTCAGAAAATTTTAACTGAATCAAAAATTGAGAATAATATGATAATTCCTGAGACGCCGTACGAATTGTCAACCTCTATCTCTGAGATTTCGCTCGCGCAGCTAGCAAAACGTCCACGCAAGCGTTGGAAAAAATTGGTGCACGTCAAGCCGTCGCTGAGTATGCTCAGGCGATTTTTGATTGAGGGTGTCAACTGAGTGAGACGTTTTTTTGTGCTTACAGGGCGTATACACTCGGCGATCGTCGCCGGCATCGACTTGGCGCAAGGCACCGCAGTTGTGGAGTGGTTCGAGCAGAACGAGACGAAGGGCAAGGAGATCAACCTCGCCGCCATCGAGTCCCTCAATCCGGAGCTGATGCGACCAGAAGCCTCCTCTGTCGCCGAACCGGCGCGGCCGGAAGCCACCATCATCGAATCGGCGCGGCCGGAAGCCGCCGCCGCGGAATCGGCGTTCAATCACACCTCGTCGAAGCTACAACGAGTAAGTAATATCCAATCAATCGATGTGTGTAGTGTGGTTTTTTTAGGTCAGGAGTGTTAACAACCTTTTCCCTGGAAAAGGAGTGTAAAGGGATGAAGAATGTTTTACCTTCTCTATTGTTGTTTAACTGCTGAATAGGTACCAGGCAGTTCAAGCACACAGTATTAATCATTTTCACTTTATGTTGAAATTAAACCCCGTTTTCTTTATGTTCTTGCGAAAAGTTTCGCGTTTAGTCTTCGCCATGTTGTGCTGCCTGCAGTTACTTTGCTTATCTTTCGCGTGCTGTTGTTTCTGTTGCTGCAGTTTCCCACATACGAATCGCAACTAAAACTTGCCGGCAATGTTCTCCTTCAGCTACAACTTTCAATCACACTTCCGATGTGTAAGCATGTTACGCTAATTTACTTCCATATTTTGCATTATTACCACCTTCCACCCTTATTACATGACGCACAAGGTAATTCAGGCTAGTGCAAACACACATTCCAGAATATTTGCTTTCTTTCATCATTCAGAAAATGATTATTCATATTGTGAGCATTTGTTTCTTTTATCGAGTGAAATCAACAGAGGTGGACTTTTCCGGACTTAAGAAATGTATCCAACTAATGTATTTTTTCGTATTGTTCCTAACACCGACACTGTAAATAAATTGTCCTTAATGTTTGTACCTAATGACCATTGTGGTCAGCGTTCGACAAGAACTTCAGAATTTCAGTTCAGTTGGAGCTGTACAACGATAATAAAACGTTGCGCACTCTTGCTTTAGTTTTAAACTAAAAGTGTAATTTTGTTAATGCTGCAAAAGGAGTCGTCGGGTTCGTCGGAGGAGGAAAGCGCTCACATGGCCCACATGGGTCGCTACAGACAGGACGAAAGCGACGAGGATTTTAACAGCAATCAGGTTTCGCCTGACAGTACTACTCTTTCGGTATCCTTAGCCTCTTTTTTGATTCGATTTTCAGTTTGTTTTATTTTTGGTTTGTACGTTTTTCGTTAGTTTCTGTGGTTGTCTCTTGATTTACCTAGCGCAATCAATATGTTTTATTCACGTTGGTTGTTTTTTTCAGAATCCGTCGCAACAATCGATAACATCCACGAATAACAGACCAACCAATGGTAAGTCATCTTTTTGTTGCTTAGATCATTTTTGTTTTCGTTTGTCGCAGTCATTTATTGTCAAAAATCATCGGGAAAAATTATCGTTTTGAACGTCATCATACATTTTCGCTTTACTCTGCTCTTTCATCAATTCATAAAATGGGTACAGAAATCTTAGCGAAATTGTATTCCACACATACGTACGCACATCGACACACATAGCACTATCGATTGAAATATTTATCATGTCATGAGTTGTGAGCAAGTTGGTAATGTGTTTCCTTTGCGTGTTTCTTTGCAGGCTCGATTCGAACGACGCGCGCGATGGCGCGTGCCACAATAGGAAACCCCGAGATAATACCGCCGCCGAAAGAGAATGTGGCGTCTCGATTAAATATCATCTCTTCGAATCCGCGCCGCAGTAATGTCGTCAAGGAGGTGGAGAAACTGAAGAAGAATCGCGAAGAGCGACGGCAGCGGCAAGCGGAAGAGAAGGCCGAAAAAGAGGCGTTTATGCAGATGGCACCCGGTAATCCGCACTGGGAGCTGCTCAATATGATCATGGACTATCGCCGCGGCTTGGATATCAATCCGTTGTGCGAAGCGGACGCCGTTGAGGATCATCTCATTACTGTCTGTGTGCGCAAACGGCCTGTGAATAAAAAAGAGGCTTCGAAGAAAGAGGTTGACGTTATTACTATACCGTCGAAGAATCAACTGATCGTGCACGAACCAAAGAATAAGGTAGATTTGACGAAGTACTTGGAAAATCAAATCTTTCGCTTTGACTACGCCTTTGACGAGACTTGTAATAACGAAATTGTTTATAGGTAAACTTTTAAACTTATCAAAAACATCAAAACTATTACTAACTAAATATTATTTTAAGGTATACTGCACAGCCGTTGATAAAAACAATCTTCGACGGTGGCTTTGCAACGTGTTTTGCGTATGGTCAAACTGGCTCGGGCAAAACACACACGATGGGTGGCGAGTTCATCGGTAAGACTCAGGACTGCAACAGAGGCATCTACGCCCTGGCAGCCGCCGACGTGTTCAAGTTTGCTAAGTCGGCGAAATACCGCCAGTTGAATGCGATTATTTCGGCGAGTTTCTTTGAAATCTACTCGGGAAAGGTGTTTGATCTCCTCAACAACAAAGCTAAACTGCGAGTACTCGAAGATGGCAGGCAACAAGTGCAAGTTGTGGGCTTGACTGAAAAAGTGGTGGTTTCCACCGAGGAAGTGCTCAAGCTGATTCAGCGCGGCAATCAGGCACGCACATCTGGTCAAACGTCGGCGAACACCAACTCGTCGCGGTCGCATGCGGTGTTTCAGATTATTGTGCGCCTGAATAATAGTCCGCAGAAGATTCACGGCAAGTTTTCGCTTATTGATCTGGCTGGTAACGAACGAGGCGCTGATACGTCATCTGCAGACAGACAAACTAGTAAGTTTTGGAATTAAAAACTGCGTTAGAGTTTGTTTTAATGAATGAAATTTTATAGGAATGGAAGGTGCAGAAATCAACAAGTCGTTGCTTGCCTTGAAGGAGTGTATTCGAGCGTTGGGTCGTAAAGGTGCGCATTTGCCCTTCCGGGTCAGTAAATTAACGCAAGTTTTGCGCGATTCCTTCGTTGGGCCTAATTCGCGTACATGCATGATTGCGATGGTTTCACCGAGTGTTGCATCTTGCGAACACACACTCAATACTCTTCGATACGCTGACAGAGTAAAAGAGCTGGGCGCTGGTGATTTGATTGCCAATCAGGGCGATGACGGCTTTGACAAACAAGAAGATGGTGATTTGTTACAACTACATTCACTTAGTGTAAGTTTATTTTGTTTATTAAGCTTAAATCAACAAAATATTAAAATATTAACTTTAGGAAAACGACATGACGCCTGAGATGCTTAATTTCCACCAAGTTGTCTCCGATTTGCAAATGGCTGAAGACGCTATGTTGGATAACCATAAACAGACCTACGAGACGATGTATACGAACACGCAGAAGATGCAGGTTCTTCTCCGAGCAGCCGATGATGTTACTTATGACCAAGAAGGTTCAAAATTCATATTTTGTGTATTTCTATAGATTAAAAATATTGATTTGTGTTTCAGAATATTGTCAAGCGTGGGAGAGCGTCATTGAAAGCTCGATGGCGACTTTAGACCAGGCTCGTGAGATTGTCGCCGATTACAAGGCAAAGATGGCGAACGAGGAACAAGTTAGCCGCAAGACAAAACGAAAGTAAACCACACCGCACCTCCCCTAACGCGCACCCATTTACGTTTTTAACATCGTGCTAGGGATCGCTGTAAAATAACTTGCCAATCTGCACTTTAAGTGATTGACAAGTTATTTTACAGTGATTGCGACTTGATGAGGGCGCGCGCGCGCGCTCGCCAAGCGATTGTCTGGCAGTGAGAGTTTTATTTTTTACTACAATTCTGCACTGCAAGTGGACAATACATATACGAATCTATTTACAGATATAATCATGAAATAACACTATTTTGATGAAAACAACCAACTCTTTTGCTCAAGTTGTTGATTTTCGAATGCGTAACGCAAGTGTGAACTCTCTCTACCCCCCGGTTTCTCGTTATTTAATGTGTTTACTTATTATTATTCTATTCTATGCTATTACTTACCAAAAATAAATTCCTGCCGAACTGTGGTGGACGATCGGGAATACCAACTAACTATGTATTTTATATTTAAAAAAACGTTTAGATCTGATAAGCGCAGATAAAAATTAGGGCTGTGCTGGTTAACACACGTACGAGACGAGCCATTAACTTACGAATTAGCATTACCATTTTAACTGTATTTAATTTAGAAGGAGGACAATGTATCATCTTAGTTTAAATTATTTCGAACGTCTCATAATTTATATCTCATTTTTAAAAATTTTAACCTTAATTGATTGAACTGATATTTTCTATTGTGTATTTTAGCTGCAAGCGCAATGTGTGTGCGTGTGTGGAAATTTGTTTATTACTGCAAGTAGTTGAAACGAAATTTCGCTGATGTTATCTATCTCTTAAAACTCTTGACTTGCGTTTTTCTGCGCCGGAAAAACTCTAATCAAAAACAATTGTTCGCTGCGACGAATTATCTAGTTAACGATTTGTTCAACGCACCACGCTTTTTATAAACTGTTACATTTTGTTATGTGTAAAGTATTTGGGAGGTTGATTGAAGACTCAGAATGCCAGTGTGGAGTATTTTTGTATTATACTATTCAGACGCGTTGCTTTAACTGTTAATAAATCGCAGGCTGACATCAAACACGCGCCTTGGAGTCTGTTACGACCATTACGACAAGTTTGGGTGAATCATTATTGTATTTTTTTAATATAGCTTGTTCATTAATTGCAATAAACTGCATCACATTGAATTTGAATTTTTGAATCGACATTTTGTCAATTCTGCGTCCTTGAGGCGATTTTTTGAAGTTAATGTACGTTTCTATATTTAAGTTTATTAGTATTTAAAATGTCCACTAGATGGCGCTATACGTATTGATTTTGCATTAAAAATGTGGTTTGACAACTCTTTCGGCACACTAGGGTACGCTAGTGATACAGTTGGTATTAAATGTGTTCACCTGTAAGTTTAAACCGCGTATGTTGCCATTTGTGAGTCATATCGTTAAAAATTCATAGATTAATTAAACTTTATAATTATATTTCTGCAATGGGCCTGTGCAAAGTACAAATTTCCACCTACGTTCCCACAACACCCGTTGTTAAAGAAAAAACAACAAGGTAAATATTTATAAAAAATTTATTTATTAAACATTATACGTGATTTTGGATTTACAATTTTATTTTTGAGTTGACATGTTTCGCCCAGAGGGCATCTTCATAAACTCTTATACAACATGGATTACGTATTCACCAAAGAAAGTAATAAGGTAAATATTGTAATAGTAATTTATGAATATCATTAATATTTCTGTAATATTTGTTAATTAAGCATTCAACTAAGAATGTTTAATATTAGCATAATAGAATCAAGTGTTTCATTTCGTTTTGTTTTGTGTGACTTGCAAAGAAGATAAGCGCCCGATGTAAACATAAACAAAACACAAACAGAAAGTACCGAAAACAGGTTGTGGTCGATGCAATAAGACTCGAAATGAAATCTATGTTCGAGAATTAAATATTTGCGCTGCGCGTGTATGCGCGCTGAACTCGTGTATCATTTTATCTGCGACGGTATTAACGGTAGAAGTTTGCGTACGGCGAGTAAAAACTCTTTGACGCAGTTTAACTTTAACCCCGTGCACATAATGACAAATTTATTGCCTAAACTGTGTCGTAAAACGTGTAGACTACTGGAGTATGCACGAGTACTTCGCCAGCGTCTTATTGCTGTGCGCCCGTCTGGGCGTCTATTGTCGCTCAAATATTTATTTTAATGCGCAATTTCAAATTCCACATAAAAAGCATCTTTTTTCGGGCTGTGGCGTATTTTTCGGCAGCGGCTTTGAAAGTAAAGTCAATTTTTCACACCAAATATTTGCGTTTGTGGATATATACTGAATGGAAATCAATTTCTATGCGAGGGAGCAGCGAAATTAATAATGTGAGAGATTTGAAATGCAAAAATATGTATGAAATAAAATGAAAAGTGTGATATTGCGGTGAAATACGGCTATCAGCTTGTTTTTCGATTTGTGCGCGACCATTTTTATGTACGATAACAACAAATTAGTCCAGCGCGTGTTGAATATCCCGCACATCAAATGACTGATTGATTTTATGTACAAACATTTATTTTAACTACATTTTAAAAGCTAAAATATTGAAAAAACAACAAAATATTTTATTCTACGGTGTTTAAAAATAGGAAAATTTTTTAAACTAGGTTATGTCTGTTTCCTTGCACGGAAATTCGATGATTATTTCATTTAGTTATTCACTCGTCGCGTAATAAATAACGCATAACGTGATTCGCATTATCTGCGGCCGCACATGTAGAACAACACATCAGCACGAAGCACAACATTATCGCATAACAATGTAACTGACACGAATGTCTGTGCATTGTTGCCGCCGCACGCGAAAATATCTAGTGGAAGTGAAATATTACCGGGGAAAACACGCCGAACTCGTGTGCGATGGCGCGCTTTCCTCTCCTTTGAATTTTTCCTTGTATTCTTTAGAATATATTCAGCGCGTTTTTTTCCCGTATTTTTACAGGTTTTATTTTAGCCTTTGTACGATCGGTGTTGATCGTCGTCGAGCTAATTTAATATCGGCGGCAATTTTACTGAAATTACAAAGGAAAAATCAGGCGGACGGTTTAAAACAATTTTTTTCTCTCGTGCGCGTGTGATGTAAACGTCGTGTTAGGCTGGATAAAACAAATGCCTCGGCGTCGAACCCAACCCGTCAATAACAATGTTTTCGAAGAGTTTTTATCCCCCTGGCAGTATCAAAAAGCCATAAATTTGCTCCACTTTTTGTTTTTTTTTTTGTGTTGCGCAAAGATTCGGGCGACATCAACGTCTAAATTTCAATAATACCAATTTGTATGTTTTGAAAACAATTTTTTTATATCAGACTACTAATATTCGCATATATTATTTATCTCGCACAGAAATTTCATAATTTATGCAATCGGTGTGTTGGGTCGTTTAAATATTAATTTCGTTTTAATCATATTTTCTGTTAGCAACACCGTACGTGCCATCATCAGCGCGTTTATTTTCCTCTGCCTTACCGGTGATCCAGTTCGGTGCGCAGTTGTTAGACACGTGAATTAATTACACGATTTTAATTAATAAATTAATGTTTTCCCTTCATCTGAAATTTCATACATGATGAAAACAAAACGGTGGTAATCAACCAGCGTTGAAATCTTAATTTATCTAGATTTTAATTAAACATGCACTTATTCGTGTGGATTGTGATAGTTTCAAGAACAAATCCAAAGTTATTAGAAACGCATTAACCTTAATGAATGCGCACACACCGTGGTGCATTAGCATTAGCGCACATTTTGCCAATTAGAAGGTGTATTGTTCGCTAAAAGCCGAAATTCCAGCAAGGATAAAACAAGTTTTAATTACTGTATCTCATAAAGTCTATTAGTTAGTTCAGCGCGTTATGATTGCGGCCGCTTGGAATTTGTTGATTTGTTGCGTTGGGGATAATATCTAGAATTCGAGTATTACACGAAAATGTTATCCTCGAGATGTTGTTGTGTGTATGTGTGTGTGTAGGTGGAAAACCATTAAATAAATGTGTCACCTGAGGCTGAAAGGAAAACATTTCGCGTTTACCTTCCTGTAGCGCGCCGGCGCTTCGTCCTAAATCAATTTGTTTAAAAATATACGCCGGGATACGAATGTGCTCACGCGCAGGGATGCTGGGTACGTTTATTACAGTCGTGCACTCGTAGTCAGACGTTTTCTTCTTGTTAGCACAAGGGATATGATATTTATACAGGATATTTAGATTTGCAAACAAATCGTTCAATTTTACACATTGTACGCATGATGTTTTTCCAAACCGTTTGTAATTTAAACGTATTTTCGCCGAAAAAAGTGTATTTTTTGATAAATGCGGGAAATAAAAGATTATCAAGACTCTGTATTAACTTGGCTTGGCTTTTAGACTAGTTCCAATTAATAACGCTTAAGTTTAAGGCCTTTAAGCCTTCAAATGCACCGCAGGCTCGAAAGTGATCTCGAAACGAATGCGAGCGAGCTGCACAATGTCGAAAGAAGATAATGGCTTTTTCACACGCTGCGCAATGACAAATTTTAATTTATGAATGCATAAAATTTCTTATTGCCGGCCGCGGCGATTAAAACTAGCGCTTAAATAAATTACAAATTAAATATTTCCGTGCTACAACTACCATCATAAATCTACACTTAGTTTAACCGCTCGTTTAGGTTTTTTTAATCATTAAAATATTTACGTTTACCTAACCTCAATTCGACGCTGCGCGTAGTGTAGTAGGTACTTAATTCGTTGTAAAAGTTTTGTGACACTTTGGCGCACGGTGGAAAATATTTCCAATATCAAGTTTGTTTACTTGATGCTGCTTCGCATGCCAATCGGCACTTTATTAAAACGCCGCCATTAGCATACAACCGGCTTCGATAAATTCCACCGGCGCACGTCTGCCGCCGACTGATTATTAATAGTTTTTACCCGCATATAGGTGGTGAGGGGGCGGTGGTGGCGGTGGTTGTGGCTTCGGCCGCAAAGTTAAACTAAAGTGCATATTGACTAAGTTTCCGAACGCTGCTCGGCGATACGGTTTATTAAAGTGCCGCCGCCGTCGCCGCCTCCGATGCCGGCGGCCTCGCACTAAAAACGAATCGAACTTTAACGCACGTTCGGAGAGGAAAAAATGCAGACGGTGAAAACAAGCCGAAACGAAGCCAATCGAAACCGAAGAAATCGGTTTGCGAAACGGTGCGGGGGCGGTTGTATCGTGGTGGAGAACTAGTCGTAGACGCAGAAGCCGTATAGTCATGTAGTGAGTTGCAAATTTACAATGCAACCTATTACGCGCGCCTTTTGTACCGATTTTTTGCGTGTTTCTTTCGCCGCCCCCGAATTGCTTTTATGGTTACTCGAGGGTCAACTCTAATATCCATTCAGGATTATAACTTTTTTTTTCGCTCAGCGCTGGTAAAAGAAAAATAATACTAAACTTTTATTAATATGGTATTAAAGTAGCCAGTAGCGCCATCTATCGACGAATAGTTTCGAATAAAGTGAAAAGTTTTAACGACCGCAGCATAAAACGCTTAGTTCCTTTCTTACGACTTGAATGGTGAAATTAAAATCGTCGCCGAGTTTAATTATAACATTAGTTGCGCAATAAACGTTAGAATTGGTGCAAAAGTGCAATCGTTTAGCTCGGCGCACACTTAAAATTGAATCGACAATACGTGCAGCCAATTAAACCTGTGTGCGCCGCATTTCTGCTTTACGACGCGCCTCGTGTACCACCGACGCACTCGTAAGACACTCCGTATTTTATCACATGCGATATAAGCTCACGGCGTAATAAAAGCGAAATGGCTTTCTAAACAAGGGAAGTTTGACCCCGAGAATCCTTACAACCACAGCGAGCAAATACCTACCGTAAATTTGATCCCTGATTTCAACTGACTGAAAAATGAGATTTGTTTTTTAATTAGTGGCGCGTATTAAAGTTTCTCCAACGGAAAAAAATTGTGTTGTTCGCAATGGTAATGCGAGAATAATAAAAATAAATGTGCGAAGCGTTGTAATAGTTGTGAAGTGGCGCCATCTGCGCCTAATTGCTGTCGAGATCGAAATTTCCCAGTGAAAATATTTTAATTAGACAGCGTGAACACAGCACGCGCGCGCTGGCGCTAATCCCACGAGAAAGAAACGCCGC